TAGCCCCAGCTAACCTGGAACTCACTATGTAGACCAGGCTGGCCTCGAACTCACAGAGATCTGCCTGCCTCTGCCTCCTGAGTGCTGGGATTAAAGGCGTGCACCACCACGCCCGGCTTATTTTACTTTTAATTATATGTGTGAATATGTATCTGTCCATGAGTGCAGGATCTGGTGGAGGTCAGAGATATCAGATCCCCTGGAGCTTGAGTTATAGGCAGTTGTGAGTCACCTGACATGTGCTGGAAACCAAACTCTGGTCTTGAGTAACAGCAATATGTGTTCTTAAATGCTGAGCCATCTCTCCAGCCCCAACTCAACCTTTGAGGAATTTTTTTCCTGATTTTTATTAAAATTCTCAGTTACCGCATTTGACAGCAGCCCTTTTCCCCCAGGTGATCTTAGGAAGCCTCCTAAAGCACCAGGCGTGATGGTTCCTGACACTACCACTGAGAGCTGAGACCAGGGCAGGAGGATCATTAGTTTAGGATACCGTGGGCTACACAGTGAGTTCAAAGTCAGCCTGAGCTAGTAATATCCTGTCTCGGGACACCAAAAATAAATAGATAAATAAATTAATCTGTTTAAGTCAAGATAAATAATGCTACAGCTCTGGAAGAAATGGAGTGTCACAGGCTTTGCAGTGAGGAGCTTGTGCACTGAAGGTGTTTTGGTAGCTAGCTTGCGGTCCTAGGCAGGACAAGGCGTGGGTTAGTGCTCAGCTCTGCACTCGTCTTATTAAACTGAAACAACTAACTGGTAGGGGCTGGAGAGACGGCTCAGTGGTTCTTACAGAGGGCCCCACACAGTTCCAGATCCGCCCACACAGTTCCAGACCCACCCACACAGTTCCAGACCCACCGCCCCTCTCGGACCTCTGTGGGCATTACAAGGCACCGGTGCACCTACCTACGTGCAGGCAATACACTCATACACATAAAATAAAAATAATAAATAGTTATAAAAATAATAGCACCTCAGAATATTGAAAGCCTTAATGTGCTCACTTTTCAGAAGAGACCTGTGATGTACAGTTATTTAGGTAATAACTCAATTTCTTACAAGGAAGAAAACTTTCGTAAACTGTTACATTTACCAAGAAGTCAGTCTCTGCCCACATGATTACTGGGGAGTGTTACTCATTGTTAAGCCCATAACCAGAATAGAACTGTGGGGATTTTTATGACAGCCTTGGTCTTAATTGTTTATATACACTCATTAAAATATCCTATGACTAACCAGTCCTTTGGATGTTTTTAGGTTTGACAGTGTCAAGCATAGGTGGTGTTCCAAGGTCCCGTAAATTTCATTGACTCCATTATTAGAACATTTTCACAGAGACTATACATCTTTTCCTCATATCTCAGTGAAAGGCAAATCATAGTTTTGCAGAAATGTCATGGAATTCCCTTGTATAAAACCGGCTCCCCTGTTATAATTGGTTTTGATATAGAAAAGAATGGGGGTAGAGTAGATCGCCCCTTGGGGAAATCTGGAAATTTGCTCAGAAGTTCCTATAGATTTACTGGTGGTCACCATTGAACATTCACTTGGTTTTGAATCTGCAGGTTCCATATGCTGTGGGCTTTATATGACACATGTTTTCTTTCCCCCAAGGAGTCAGAGTGTTCATCGAAAAGAAAGCACAGCTAACACTTTTAGGAACAGAAATGGACTATGTTGAAGACAAATTATCCAGTGAGTTTGTCTTCAATAACCCAAACATCAAAGGAACTTGTGGCTGTGGCGAAAGCTTTAATATTTGAAACTTCAGGACTCCTGGCTCCAAGCTCTGGGAGAGCTGGAAGCTGCTTTGGAGCTTACTGAAGAAATCATGTGACTGTCACGTGCTCGTTATAATGTGTGTCCACCTCATGGGGAAAAATAAAGTGGTGCATTTTGAAAATTGAGCCAGTGTATTAGATTCTAGAAGAATGATATTTGTATTCTCTGGAAGGGGCAGAAATTGAGAAATCTTTGGTTTCTTTGGGTCATTTTTTGGTTCCTTACAGAAAGAAATCCTGCCCTGTACCTAACTCTGTAGCATCCTGAGTGTGAGCACCAGTGAACGGCTTGACCATGTATCTCCCCCGCAGCTTCTCAGCCATGTTATTGGCTCCTAATTCCACAAGCAGGACAGCTGTGGAAGAAGCCTGCCGCTGCCTGGTTTTCTTCCCCAATTCGGCATGGCCTTTTACATTTGTATCAAAAATGTGATTGTGAGGTCCCTCATTTGTGTCTGCTTCAACAGCACCAGAAAAATACTTCCTTGATCTACAGTGTGCACAAGTTCTGAGTGTCTTAAACCCACCTCCTTTGGCATTCTGTCTGCTTCAAGATGGTTTGCTTAGACCTTTCAGTTGAAAGGTCTTTTAATAAGCAACCATCCAGCTCACCTCCCTCAATTCTGTATGTAAGGAGTTAAGACCCCAGGGAGGCCAAATGCTTTTGTCACGTCCCTGTGCAAGCTAGGGGAGAGCCAGCACAGTACACAGCTTTCCCTTATAGGTGACATCAGTGCTGGTGAGGCAGTCAGTGGAGGTGAACAGTCATCTGCTTCACAGTCTGGCTTCCTTATCTGGTCAACATTTTGATAGAGTTTCTTTGTAATTTATGGAGATCATATTAGTTGTATTTTGAATAGGAAAGCCTTATTTAAAATCCTTTTGTATAAATTGCCATCTTGTTTCTTTTGGAGTTTGAAACAATAATTTCTACTTACAGATAAGATACTTTAGCAGCCTAGAATTACTCTTAGAGCACAGCATTTATGGAACAGAACATGGAGGTCTTTTCTTACAATTCCAAATATATATCACCTTTCTGGTTCCTATTGCTACATTTTTTTTTATCACCAGTTTTTTGAGACGGTTTTCCTGTGTAGTATAAGCAGGCCTTGGACACCTGTTCCTCCTGTCTCAGCTTCCTGAGTGTTGGAATTAGAGGCTGACTCCAGTTTTTCTTTTAAAATGGTTTCAGTTTTGTGTACTGGTTTTCTTGTATTTGACATCTTAAGTAATTGATGAGATAATAGTATTTTGTTGAAAGCTGATTCTCCTGATGTAGCTGAGTTCATTTATGCTGTTTCCTAAAGTATCTAGCACAACAATGCACCAAAAACTAGAAACAGTAGTTTTATATAAATGTTGATGAGTTTGTGTCCTAAATAGAATTGTTGATATACCCTTAATTTGTGCAATATTGTATGTAGAGACTGAGTTATCAATTAAAAAAAATGGCCTCTTGTGATCATAAAAATGACTTTTCTTGTTGAGGGGTTTGGGGTTATGGCAAATAACTATCATTTTATGCTGCCCTGTTTCCAGAAGCCTCTTTAGCCTTCCTTGCTTTCCTGCCTGTTTCACGGTAACTCTCCTCCGCATCATCCTGTCCCTGTGTCCCCAGGAGAGACCATTATCCCCATTCAGGATGCTTTTCCCTTTGTGCAAGCATCACTCTTGTTCCTTCAGAAAGGGTTTTAGCAGTTCATTTCAGATCCAGTAAGTGGAACTGTCCTGGACTGCAGAAATCCTAGAACTGGCAAATGAACCAGGCTTCAATAAAGTATTAATAAGTCTCAGTAATCAGCCGGGGGCTGAAGAAATGGCTCAGCAGGTAAGAGCACTGGCTGCTGTTCCCAGCATCCACGTGGTGGCTAACAACTGTCCATAACTCCAGTTCCAAGGATCCAATGCCCTCTTTCTGAACTCTGTGGGCATTGCACAACACAGGTACACTTACATATATGCAGGTGGTATACTCATACACATAAAATTAATAACCTAATAACCCATAAGTACCACTGATAGCCAGTGTTTTTTGCATGCTTAATATATGCCAAGACCTGTTCCCAAGAAGTAGGTCTGGCTTCTGTCTTACGTGAGAATCTAAAGCATGACATGAGTAAAATATTTTTTCTAAGTAATATTGTATGCATTAGGTCAGAATTAAGCCCCTGTGCTCTGAACAGGTGCACCCTACTACATGTTGGGATAATAACCCACGCGTGGGGGAGGGCGCATGTAAGAAAGTGTCTTAGAGGTGAGTTTTGAAAGACAAGAAATGTAGAGGAAAGGAGGAGAATGGACAAATGGGTTTGAGAAAATTCAGAGGGAAGCTAAGCACTAAGTGATGTGTAGGGGCAGTAGATAAGGCTGAGGTGGAAGGCCCAGGGCATACATGGTTTCTCTGGGCTCTAGGGTCAGGGGCAAGAAAATGTAGAAGAGGGGGGTCAAACAAGTACATCCCACCAAGCATAGTGCAGGCCTACAGTCCTAGCTCTTGGGAAGCTGAGACAGGAGGACTATGGCCATATATAGGAAGAACCTGCTTAAACAGAAATCGATAAGAAAAACAGCATTCAGAAGTATCGGCTCCACATTTGTTCAGCACCAAGTGGGCTGGAATATGAGGGTACAGGGAGCTGCTACAAAGCCCTCAAGAGAACCAATAGAGGGGCCAGTGTGGCAAGCCTTCCGGTGAGATCGATAGGGTTCTCTGCAGCACCAGCTGGTCTCAGGGCTGTGCTTTGAGGCTCTTGTTTTACAGGAGCACAGTGACACCTACACTGTGGCTTAGGATTTTTTTTTTTCCTCTTAGCTGATAACTGAAATGTGGAAGACGAGCTCCACTACTGCTTTAATGTCCTTGTTGCACAGGAGCATCATTCTTAACAGAGTGGCTCATCCTACAGCTGGAACAACCATGTCATGCAGGCCTCATCCCTAACCAGGAAGGCTTTGCCTCACGCCTGATGCCACATGCACTCTTCACAAACGCTGATGTCCCGTGCAGCCATAGTTTAGTAGTTCCCCTGGGTGGTGTGTGAGCCATCAGATGTTCTGCCAGGATCCACACACCGTGTCAGATCTCTGGCTTCATGTGACCTCTAGTAGAAGCCCACTCTTCCCTTTCAGGAGGCCAAATTGAGTGGCTCAAGCCACAGCACGGTTAAAAATACTCCTTAAAAGAATTTCAGAAGGCTGGCCTGCTGTGCTTTATTGTTCTAGAACATCTCCCAGCCCCCTGTCCCAGCATGGACAAGAATGACTTTTTTTTCTCAAACAGGAAGTGGGAGTAGGAGATTGGAAAACCCCCTAAGAACCAGAGTCCCTAAAATACCCAGGACTTCCTAGGATTCATTCAACAGGAAATGCCTCAAAAAATTAGCCTTTCTTATCATGTTTTGACATCTGAGCATCAGGAAGCACAAACCTGTGATGTTACATTGGGTCGTAAGCACTGTCTCATTTGATCCCCCAGAGTAGCAATGACATGGGAGACAGCCTCAGCCTAGAATCAGCATACAACGACCAGCCTGAGGCAGCATGGTCTGGGATGCAGGAACAGTGGTATAGGACTGGGGATGAAACACATCTGGATTTGAATCAGTGGGAGGGGAGAGGAGGTAGATCCATCTACCCTTGACCTCAACTAGTGTCCCCAGAAGAGGAGGGGAGCAACAGGGAATAGTGTCACAGCTTTGTGACTACAAAGCAGATGGAGTCATGAGCCAGCAGCGAGCCGGTAGCTGAGGAGTGGCAGGGCTTGATAGAGGAAGCCGTGAGGCAAACATGTAGAAGCTTCTTCCCCGCATGGTTCAGGGTAACATGTGCCTGCTGATAACTTCGTCTTGGGTGTCTACTTGCCACCCACATGGGGACTAGATTTCTGGTTTTTTCAGTCACCTGCCTTGTGGAAGTTTGTGACAGCAGCACTAGGAGCTAGTCCATACTGTCAGCCAATGTGTGGATCTCAGGTGCCCCAGCTTTGACACAGTTGAATCCTTAAACCCTTTTCCCATTGCTTTTTGAAGCTTGCTGTCCACTTCCTAACATATTTAGTCTCACAGTGCTGAAGAACATGCTGGGTTACTTGCAGACCAGAGTTGCTGGTGTGACTCACCCCTCCCCATGCTCAACCGTCATCACATCTCACCTGTAATCAGCAGTTCTGGATGTCAGAAGAAATGGAGCAAGGTCTTCAGATTTCCAAAGAAACATTTGCTTTTGAGGACAGCAAGGGAGAAAGCAAACAAATGCACTTATTACTGAAACATCTTAACAGCTCTGATTCAGAAGAAAAGGGGGGGGGAACACTGCACAGGTCCAGGATTTTCCAGTTTTGTATCTACGTAATAAGAACTTAGGTTGAGAAGCACCATGTAGTGTATTGCAGATGTCCTGGTTACACCATCACCTGTGCTGCTTGAGTGAGAGGACCATGTGTTTGGGGGATTTTGTTTTTGTTTTCTTTGCTCAGCATCTAGTACACTTTGCAGAACATCTGGAAAATGTTTGCCAATTTAATCTGCTATTGCATCTGTCTTAGTTTCTTTTCTTTTGCTGTGATAAAGTACTCTGGCAAATTTAAGAGAAAGGGCTTATTTCAGTCCACAGTTCAAGGTCACAGAGAGTCCATCATTACAGGGCTGGAGTTTGAGGAAGCTGATCACATTGCACCTGCAGCAGTGGATGAACCACACTGCTGCTCAGCTCCCTCTCTCCACTTACACTGTCCAGGAGCCAGCCAGGGAATGGTGCCACCCAAAGTGGCAGGTCTTCCCACCTCACCACTATCAATATAGTGCCCCCAAGGGCATGCCCAGAGGCCCATCTCACATGTGATTCTAGAATTCTGTATCTGTAGCAACACTAACCATCATAACTTTACCCCTTGTCAACTCAATAACCAAACATCACTTTCGGGCCATAATCTTCTCCCTTTGCCCCATAGGTTCACGACTGTGTTACAAAATGCATTCAATCCAACTTTCTAAGTCCCCATTGTCTTTAACAATTCCAACACTAAAAGTCCAAAGTCTTTGAGCTCCTGTAAAATAAAAACAGATAATCTAACTTAAAATGGCACAGAGTAAATATTCCTTTCCCAAAATGGAAGAATTAGGGTAGAACAGTCAAACTAAAGCAAAATAAGATCCAGTACGTCAAACAGCAGACCCACGGCCCACAGTTCATAACGTAATATGAACTCCAAAGGGGTCTAGGTAACCCCACTTCTCCAACACGCACAGCCTCCATTGAGCTGGCTCCAACACTCCATGCTTGGAGCTTTCCTCAGCAGATGTCCCACAGCTCTAACGTCTGGGGTTAGAGCTGCATCCTGGGGTCTCCACAGCAACCTAGACTTCACCTGCACAGCTTTATTCAGTGGCCTCACAGGACCTCCCTGCAGGAACTCTGAACCTGGCACACATTGCTTGGCCTCTGGCTGTATTAGTCACTTTTCTGTTGCTGTGATAGAAACACTGACCCAAGCAATTGAGCTTACGGTTCCAAGGAAATTACAGTCTGTCATGGCAGGGAGGCATGGTGGCTGGAGGTGGCTGGAGCAGGAGCAGCAGAGGTGAAGCTCTCACATCATCACACAGGCACAGGAAGCAAGAGAACAACTGGAGATCCTGCAAGGCTTAAGAGCTCTCTCAGCCCACCCCCAATGACGTGCTTCCTCCAGGGTAGCCACACCTTCTAAAACCTCCCCAAACAGCACCATCATCTGGGGACAAAATGTCCAAACACTTGGAGCCTATGGGGACATTTCCATTGAAACCACCACAGTGGCTCACCATGGAGTAAGATGCCATGACCTCAGTTATGCTTGTTTCCTGCCTTCAAAACCAGTTCTACATAGGTGGTCTTGCCAGCATGAGATGGAGCCTCTCATGGTAGCATTTTGCCCTCAAGATGCTTTTCCTATCCAGTGCATCAAGGCGCTTCCTCTGCAATAACGGCTGATTCTTTAACAGTACAGTTGCTTCTTCAGCACCAGCCTGAATACTGTCCAGCCTTGAAATTTCTTCTGCCTAGCAAAGTGGTTCATTACCTCTACATTCAGCTTCACAGGCAGAATGAAGCAAGAGGCACCTATCCCAGTATCTGATGGAGTCCTTAGTCTCTCTGAAACCTCATGAGCCTTGCTGTGTTTTTCTCCACATTCTTATCTTCCAAGCTCCTACCAGAATAGTCCCCTAAACTCTGCTTCCAGCATTCAGGTCAACTTTAGGGATTTTCTAACCCAGATTTCCAAACCCTTCCACATTCCAGCTACAAACATACCTAACCATCTCAGTCCATTGCATCAGAATGATAGTATTTCCCTATGGGGGAGACCTGTAGCCTTCAGGAGTAAACTGTGTGGGAAACTCTTGGAACAGGCTATGGTCCGATTTCTGTCTTATTTTCTTTTCTGTTGCTGTGATTTAAAAAAAACAACAACAACAAAAATAAATAAATAAATCC